AAAACTTTTATTTTGGATGCAATTAATCGTTTGACAGCACTAGTTAGTACAGTTTTGGGTATCAGACAAAATGCAGTGTTGCTGATTTTGGGTATCAGACAAAACTCTCCTGACTTGTTTTGGATACCAGACAAAATGGATATCTTCTAACAGGATCTAGGTAAGAGAATGAATGCATTATTCCTGCGAGGAGATTCAATCTAACACCATCAAGCCAATAAAGTACTTTGTGTATCAAACACATATATCTGTGTTTCAGTGTGGTGGTCATTTTAAGGGTAGACACTTTTGAGCCCCCTCAAAGAGGAAGCACAAAACATGATCTGTTTACACTTCTAAGCAACAGGCATCAAGCCAAGGTCTGAAAATAACCATAAGGGCCTGTGACCAGGTTTAACAAGTCATCTTCAAACAGAGGTGAGAATATGTTCAAAGCGTCTTCCTCCTCTTTTGTAACTCGCTTTGGACAAAAGTGTCTGCTACATGCATACATTTAAATGTCTTTGACTCACTTGTCTTTTATGCTGAAGTTTTTCTGTTCCTGTAATGCATGCACGAAACAACTGAGAAACTGCTTATCTCTGATTAGCGCAGCAAAGGCCTGACATTTCTCATCTAAAGTTGTCTGCTCAGAGTCCTGACCATAAAAAAGACAGAGATAAAACATTTAGTTTTGTACAATGTGATATATACCACTAAAGACACTGCAGCATCTTACCTGCCCAATGTCTCTGATCATGACTGCTGCCAGAGGACCAGCCTAGTGAAAATGACAAAATATATATTAAACAAACAAACATATATAGCAACTCTACAAGAACAAAGGGAAATTCAGACAGATACAAATATTGAACCTCAGGAAAGAAGATTTTTGAGGCAAAGTGCTTGTAATCCAGGAAGGGTATGGCTCCAACATTATCGATTAAATCCGATTTTTCTGTTTGCAAGTCAACAAAGCCTGTCAAAACAAACAAACAAACAAAACATAAATGCATAATGTAATCACACACAACAAGACTTGAAACATTTCTACGAAGTATGACAGCAATATGAGCATTTAAGGGAGTAATGACATTTTCATGTTTACAGCGGCACGTTTGCCTGCACAAACACTACTTAAATAACCTACATAACCTGTGGTGGTTATGTAGT